TCAAATGGTTTTTTTTCTAAATAACAATCAAGTAAACGATTATAATAAATTAATGATTGATCTAAATGATGTTTTTTAAAATAAATATTTCCAAGATTTTTATATATATTAATTAATGAAAAATCTTTATATAATTTTGTAATTAATTCATTTTCAAGTAATTTTGTATAAAAATCTAAAGCTTGATCAAAATCTAATTTATCTATAAAAAGATCTCCTAATAATTGATAATCTTCACTTATTGATCTATCTCCAACTTCTTTTCTTTGTAAATGACTATCAAGAACTTTATGAAAATACATTGATGCTTGTTCATAATCTTTTTTTTTCCAATAAATATTTCCAATAGATCGATAAGTAACCATTAATGATGGATGATTCCATAATAATGTTTTTAATTTATTTTCTAATTCTTTTTCATAATAAGATAAAGCTTTATCAAAATCTTCTTTTTTTAAATAATATTCAGCAAAATTTCTATAAGAATCAGCAAAATCTGGATGATTATTAGGTAATGTATTTATTTGTAATTGATAAGCTTTATTTATATATTGAAAAGCTTTATCTAAATCATTTAATTCTAAATACATTAAACCAATAGCTGAATAAGTTAAAGCAATATCTGGATGAGTAGAAGGAAGTTGTTTTAATTGATAATTAATTGCTTTATCAAACATTTCAGATGATTTATCTTTATCATCCATAGCTGAATAAATATTACCCATTTTAATATAAACACTAGCTATTAATGAATAATCTCTTGTTGATTGATATTGAAGAGATTTTTCAGCATATTCTAATGCAATTAAATAATCTTTCATTTTAAAATGAACATCTGATAAAGATAAATAAATATTTGATAAATAAGATTGATTTTTTTTTCCTAAAGCTTTATCAAGATATTCTAAAGCAAGTATATAATTTGATTGATTTGCATAATTTAAACCTAAATCATGATAACATAATGATATAAGTGGATGATTTTTAAATTTTTGATTATCTAATAAATATTTTAATGATTGATTTATATTTGATATAGCTATATTATAATCTCCTTTTTTATAATTAACTTTAGCAAGTCCATGATGACAATAAGCTAAATCAATATCATCTTTAATTAAATTTCCATCTAATATATTTTCAAAATGTTCTTGAGCATAATCAAATTGAAACATTTCAATAAAATAATATCCTATTGAAATAAAACGATTTTGTCCATGTAATTCTTTATTTAATTCAGATGAAAAATTTTTAATATCTGAATCATTTGATGAACATAATGTTAATTTTCCAATCCAAACTTTTTGTTTTTCATCATAATCAACATTTTCAATACGAAATATTGAACCAAGCATAAAAAGAATTTCTTCTTCATCTGGATAAGCACTAAATTGTTTTATATCAGCATATGGTTTTGTTATATTATTTAAATCAATAGTTATATCAAATAATATTGATGTTAATTCATCAGTAGGTGGTGATCGACTTGTTGCAAATTCTATAGCTTTTTCTTTATTTGTACTTGTTGATAAAAATGAATTAACTGATATAAGTTCTCCTTTACCTGATTTAAGACGATTTACTTCATCTTTACTTATTATTTGTCCTCTATAAACTTTAATTGATGATGATTTTTGATTTTTAACAAATGATTTATGTTCATCATCTAATTGTTTATTTAAATCTTTAATAAATGATGAAAATGGAATAATTCCATCAATACTTTGTGTTCTTAAAGATCTATTTAAAATTTTATAAATACATGATTCTCTTGTATACCAATAAATTGCTTTTTTTGGATCATATTCTTTATCAAATTCTACCATCACTTTTTTATCATCATCATCATTTGGTTGAAAATATTCTGTAAGAGAATTATAACCAGGTATTAATGTTTGATGTTCATCAAATATTTCTTCGATTAATAATTGATAAAGAATAAATTCTCCATTTAATGATTTATGCATACTTTTATGATCTTTTGATGAATAAACATTTGTACCCATTCTATCAACAACATTTTTGTGTCTACTTTCTGTATATAATCGTCGACGATTTACAGCCATTATACAATTCACTTTTTTCTTTTTTATTATTTATCTAACAAATAGAATATTTTCAAATTATTTATAAAATCAATCATTTTTTATCTTTATTTATATTTATTTATTTATCAAGAAAAAACAAATCTTTTAAATATAAATATAATAAATTCAAAATTGATTTTCATTATTCTACGAGTCAGTTTATTTTAATATTTTTATTTTATTGATTTATTCTAATATAATTTAGATATTTATCGATTATTTTATTAAATTGATTTATTCAATTAATCAATATTTTATTTATCCATTATTAGAAATGTTTGTTTTAACTTAAATTAAATTATTTATTTAAACAAAAAAAAACGTTTATCAATTCTTTCACTCAATACTAACACTCAAATATCATTTTTGTTAAATAAATCTTGACGACTAGAATTAAGATTTTAACTTGGAACAATCTCAATAATATTTATTATAATCACATCTATTAATACTATAATTAGACATTACTATTACAATTAAACAATTACCATAGGATTAGATTTAAACCCTATTAATAAATATTATCTCATCATTATACTCAATCATCATTATACTCAATCATCATTATACTCAATCATCATTATACTCA